CGAGATGCATGCCCAGATATACCACTTCATGTTTCTGGGGTAGAGCAACATTAACCATTTGCATTGTCGGATAGGTTTGGTTGCGTAGGTTGAATGTAATATGCGTGGATTTGCTTCGATTTATTTTAATTCTCCATTTCTTCGCCTAATCATCGAGTTTACTGATGGTGGCTTGTAGTTTCACTGAGGCTATCTCTGGACCTTCAAGTGTGGATAAGATTGCTGTAATACCGGCGAGGGTAGCAGATGTTGTATTTTCTGATGTCGTGTTTTCTTATGTACATAATATATAGAACGTGTCCTAAGACACTTCTTGAGGTACGCCTAGTTCAGTTTTCATTAAGATTGTGATTTCGTCTTTGAATTTTACTTGAAAGAGTGGAGCTAGTAGTCGTAGCGTGCGGACACATATTGGTTTTCGCTGGCACGGTGCGGAGTTAAAGTGGAAACGTACGGAACAGTGCCCCAATCGTTACAAAGTTCAAGCGTCATCAATCCAGTGATCTTCATTACTGTGTGTGATAAAACAAGGCTGATAAACCAACACTTTCAATCCTTCTAGTCATAGCACCGAGGAGTTAAACCAATTAAACTAACTCATAACGTAAGATTGACACTTACTCGACAGACCGTGCCCTAAACGGTAGCAAAAGTGAACTGGTGACAACAATGTGCAAATTCGAAGTAATCAAGTGGGCACAGAACAACAATGAATCCACAACAACAGAACATGTATATGAACTCCTATCCCCCCCTTCCATTAGCAGCTTATCCAGGCCAGTTTCGCAAATGATAGAAAATACAACACAAATCATACAACCACAACATACGAGTTTCAATGGTACTGTACCCCATCAACCACCATACGAACAGACTCCTCGACTCTCCTTGCAGCAAATGCAGTATCAACCACTGCCTACTGTAGCAACCTACCCACCACAGCAGGGTCATAACCCCCAACAAATCGTGAGAATGTCATCGACCAGTGAAGATGAATCAGACGACAAGCAGGCAAACAACAACATTTCACGGCAACAAACGACAAGTAAAAAACGGAAGAAGATTACAAGGAAGGCAGCTATCCAAGAAGACAACAAAATACCCACCAACAACAGGTACAGCATATTGATGGTTGAAGAAAACAAATGCCAAAACGCAGTTACTACTAAAAAGAAAATAAGCAAGCCTCCTCCAATACACATATACGGAGTAACAAAGTACCCAGAAATGGTAATACAACTGAGAAACTGCTTAGAAGACGAATAGTATACAACGACGAGTTTAGCAAATAACACCATTAAGATCAACTGCAACATTGCTGAAAATTATGGAAAACTAATTAGATACTTAAAGGAACAAAATATTATTTATCACAGCTACCAACTGAAAGAAGATCGTGCCTACAGAGTGGTTATCAAACATCTTCATAACTCCATCCCAACTGCAGAAATAGCATCTGAATTAAACAATCTAGGACACAAAGTGAGGAACATCATAAATGTCAGACATAGAGCTACCAAGCAACCCTTAAACCTCTTTTTTGTCAACCTTGAGCCAGCAAACAACAACAAAGAAGTCTACAATATTGAAAGACTGCAAAATGTCAACATCAAAATAGAACCACCTCATAAGACCAAAAATGGTATTGTGCAGTGTACAAAGTGTCAACTTTATGGTCACTCCAAGTCTTACTGCAACAGACCATTCGTGTGTGTGAAATGCGGAGGGCAGCACAGTACTGAAAGCTGTAAAAAATCCAAGGCAACACCAGCCACTTGTGCACTGTGTGGAGGAGGTCATCCCACCAATTATAAAGGATGTGAGTACTATCACAGGCTAATCCAGGGAAAACAAACAATAAAGGTTAGAGCCACCAACCCATCAATCTCAAACAATGTAAATACCAGACCCAAGATTTACATGGGCAGTTATCGAAACCAAAACAGAACATATAGTAATGCAGTTAATAACATAAACCCAAATAATGCCAATACACTTGAACCATGGAACAACACAGATGCTAATACACCAGAACAAATAAACAGTCCTCTAACACAATTTCTTAATGAATTTAAAGCCATGTTCAATCAATTAATACAACAAAATAGCATGGTCATTAACATGCTAACAACGCTAATTAGCAAACTAGTACACTAATGGCCAAGTCCCTAAGAATAGGGCTGTGGAACGCCAACGGCCTTGAACAACACAAAGAAGTCAAAACGTTCCTAATAAACAATCACATAGATGTATTCTTAATTAGCGAAACCCACTTCACAGAAAGAACCTACTTCAAAATACCAAACTACGTAACATATAATACCAATCATCCTGATGGCACCGCCCATGGCGGTACTGCGATTCTTATCAAAAGTACGATCCAACACTACGAGATACCGAAATACCAGAAAAATTTCCTACAGTCCACCGCAATAAAAGTAACTACATTATCATGAGCTGACAGTTGCAGCGGTCTATTGTCCACCACGACACAATATTAAAATGAATCAATTACAAGAATATTTCCAAACATTAGGCACTAAATTCATAGCCGGAGGAGATTATAATAGCAAACATACCAGGTGGGGTTCACGCCTGGCAACAACCAAAGGGAGAGAACTTTTAAAAACTTTAGAACACAGTAGACATTCATACTTATCAACAGGCACCCGAACGTATTGGCCAACTGACCCACAAAAAATTCCTGACCTACTAGACTTTTACGTTACAAATGGAATCAATTCAACATACACTGACATCATACCCAATTACGACTTATCATCTGACCACTCTCCAATCATAGCAATAATTGGAAACCTCCACCTAAACAACACAACTTTTGAACAAATTGGGATACTTTCCGCACTATACTACTCAACAGCATCGACCTAAAAATTCGACTGAAGACGACAGAAGAAATCGAGTACACTACTGAAACACTCATAAACAAACTACAACAAGCAGCACAACAGTCAACGCCAGAACTTCATACACGGAAAATAAACCAAGACATGCCGCTTGAAATAAAAAAACTAATAGCGGAAAAAAGGACAGCCAGATCAAGATGGCAACGAACCCACACACCACCCGATAAATGGGCTTACAACCACACAAGTCATAAATTAAAAAACAAGCCCAAAAAAGTAAGGAGCGAAGAATTTGAGCAATACGTAACGAAACTAAGTAGAACAGACAATTCGATATGGAAACCAATCCAAGAACTAAAAAAAAACTCCAACACCACCAATAAGGAAAAATACCAATGAACCATGGGCAGAAAGTGACGCTGAGAAAGCTAAACTTTTTGCAGAACACTTGGCTTCCGTATTCCAACCAACAGATACAGTAATCGACCAAGAAATAGAAAAAAGTCTATTAAACCCACTGGGCCGCACCATCCGTCTGCATGCCTCAACGCAAGTAAGTGGAACTACTCTTATCGCCATGCTTAATAATTGTGATATTATTAAAGTGTAACTCCTCCAATGGGACTTGAGTTACGAACGTTACAACAAGTGTACGGGGCGTAAGAGTGATCCAACTGAGTGATGCAGAGGTAGACAGGTGTAATGTAGAGACTGCAGAGGGGGTGTCTAGCGGCAGGGATGTGTATATATATATATATATATATACAGTGGTTGAGTAGAACGAGAGAAAGATCCAAAAATCACTAAGAAAGTGTAATGTGCAACCCGACACCAGTCGGCTCTTTCATTGTGATAGTATCAAAATGTATATAACTGTATATTGCTTGTTTATACTAATATAGGGTAGCATAGGGTGAAGATGTGGGTTTCTGTTGTGATTTCCTCCCTTACCACATTTCGCACCTGCACCCTCCAAGCAAGCCCGGTGAACAGTGTGCCCCTAGCCAATGAAGCAACGATAGAGGAAGCTATTTAGTAGTTTCCTTAGCCCTAGCCCTGTGACTGCAGTACAGAAGGTGACAGCGGGGATACCGCCACGCCCCGTCACCACGGAATAACTGGTGGCATAACAGGCACCCTGGACTTATCTACAAAATCAAACATGTATTTCCACTGGCTTACTTCAATCTTCTAAAATCATACCTGAGTAGGAGATCCTTTCAAACCAAAGTAAATGAAGAGAAATCTGACTACTTTCCTATCGGTGCAGGAGTCAGTGTCCTTGGACCACTGCTGTATGTCCTGTACACGTCAGACCTACCGATGGCACAAAATGTCCTAATAGGGACATTCGCAGACGATATGGCCATTCTTACTAGCCACGCAGATCCTCAAATAGCCTCAACTACTACACAAAACTACTTAAATACTCTCCAACAGTGGTTAACAAAATGGAAAGTGAAAGTGAACGAGAATTAATCTGCACATATATCATTTACCCTCCGAAAACAAATATGCCCAGCAGTCACAATAAACAACATACAGATACCGCAAAAGCAAACAGTAAAATATCTAGGCCTACACTTGGATGGAAAACTGACATGGAAACAACATCTCGCAAAAAAGAAAAAAACAAATAAACATCAAGACAATGGAGCTACAGTGGTTACTGGGAAGAAATTCACCACTATCTACAGACAACAAACTTCTAATATATAAAACAATGATCAAACCAATCTGGACATATGGACTAGAATTATGGGGCTGATCAACTAAATCAAATGTTGCAATCATACAATGATCTCAATCCAAGATACTCCATCAAATTGTTAATGCTCCCTGGTACGTAACAAATCATACACTACATACAGATCTACAGGTGCCAACCGTACAGGAAGCAACACGCAAGAAAGCCACCACGCATCATAATTCCATAGAAAACCATCCCAATCAGCTCATGGAACAACTCCTGGAACCAGTGAGCAACAAAAGACTCAAAAAACTGTGGCCAAGTGAACTACTCCTAAGTTAATGTATAGATACTAATTATAGATTACATAGGTGATTTCGCTGGATATCAACCTGTTCATGCCACTAGTGATTAGTATATCTAATGAGTAATCACCACTTTAGCTTATAGAATTATGTAATATTCCGACTGCTAAAAAAAACCTTGAAAGAGTCTATCCGTTAGATATGACTCCAATATTCAGTAGTCTGCATGGGGAAAGGTTTTCTGATTTCGAACATGAGGTCTGGGTGTCATACTTTATCATACGCTTGTGTGATGTCTAGGAATGCAGCAGAGCAGTACAGTTCCTCTTAATACCTCTGCAATTCGGTGTGCTTGTTCTGTGGTAGAGTGTTTCTGTCCGGGAGGATTCGGGTTTCTTCTACTACCTGGCACAATCTCTTGAGTATTGCCTTTTTGAAGATTTTGCTGATTACTGGGAGTAGGCTCATGAGCTGGCTTCCGCTAGCGGTCTACCAGATTTCGGAATCATGTGATCTGCGTGACTTTCCATTGAACTGGTGAATATCCCGTCCTGATAGTTGAGTTACATTTAATGTGTAAAATGTTGTGCGTATTGTCGTGTGTGATTCATAACCCACAGCTACGATATCCCCTTTCACCAGTGAGACTATCAACAGATAAATGCACACTGCTTATACTGTAATTCTAGGACTCAACACAATGGATCCACAGTTGCTAGCATTCATAATTTGATATTAAACATGGATTAGAATAGTCCGTGGCATAGCACAGGTGGTTAGCCAGCTCACCCATCTTGTTGCACTGGGTTCCATCCCAGATAATGTCTCTTAATATTTGTGACGGACAAAGTGGCACTGGGTTGGGTTTTTTCTGTGTGCTCCAGTTCTCAATCCACCATCTCCTAAACAGCTGCTGTATAATTCAGGGAATTTCCGCCAGCTGTTGTGAATTAATACCCGATTTCTTTCGTGTATTCAGGAGCCAGTTCATGTAGTTACTTTTGATTGCACTGATCTAAACAGGCAGTGAAGAAACACTGCAGATTTTATGGGATTGTCATGCTGTCAATGAACAAATTGGCATTACCGTAACAAGTCAGATATTTGGAGTGTGAATGTGCATCTGTGGAGCATTCTCATGTCGTTTTATTTATTATTTTTCAGTGATAAGGGCAGCCTACGCCTATATTCGAGAGGAGGACGAGAGGTTAAACGTAAGTTTCACAAAATCAATAATTTATGCATTGCCTCTCGTTAGTCTCTAAGTAGCTCCGTAATAAGCAATAATAATTTTGTCTAAATGATGTATTGAAATGTTTTCTGAGAGAGAGAGAGATTCATTCAAATTTCCTCGATAGGATTTTGAAAATAATGAATTGCCATATGTTTAGAAATGTATCTCTCAGAAACTGTCACTTAATCAGAAGATGAGTTCCAAATAGGATTCTCATATTTCTTGTACTGGTGTGTTGCAGATGCTGAAACTGCTTGGCTTAATAACTGGCACAGTATTATACTGGTTGGTTAAACGAACTTGGGTAAGTTTCTTGACAGCTGATTCTTTACTTACCAAGCATCACTGCCTCAAGGCAACAGGCCAAATTAAAAGGGGAGGGGCTGCTCAGGACTTTCCTAGAGCGGAACTCAGTCATCAGTCATCTGCTATACTTGCTTGCTCTGGTGAACCTTAGGGCGTTTCCACGGGGCATGAGGCAGGCATTCGTGAGTATGACCCATGTGAACGAAGGGTCGTGGAAATTCTTATGACGTCACAGGCAAGATTGAGGACTCACGCTTCATATCAAACATATTTGATTTTCAGTCGTGAGTTTGCCTCTACCATGTCTACACCGGATTGGGTCATAAAATTACGAGAAAGGGAAACTGTGTGGTTTGTGGAATTATATGCAGATGAACCAGAGCTGTATGATGCAAGCATGGAAAGTTACAGAGACAGAGACAGAGACATGAGAATGGCAGCGGCGAAGAGAATTTCCAATGCTCTCACAAATCCTGGCTTTGGACCAAGGGAGGTGATGGCACAATTTAAAAACTTGAGGAATTCCCACGACATCACCAGTGGACCATGGGCAAGGGTAGGATAAATGATGATTGTATGTTCAGCTGCAGACCAATGTCTACACTTCACACCTTGTACAGACGTGGTGGGCAGAGCAACAATAAAACGTATCGTCACCCTCAGTGGATCCCATGAACACAGAGGAGTGAGAAACACAGCTGCACTAACTGGTTCTCTAGAGAACAACTATAGTCTGTTGAAGATGCGACAAAGCTACTTTGCCAACTATACCCTTGAGAAGAGCTACAAAGATAAATAAAAATTTTCCATACGCTGTTTGAGGTACACAGAACGAAATAATTCTAGCTGTAAATCTGAATATGAACATCGCAAATGTTAAGTAACCTATTGTCATGTGTTAGTAACTAAACACTGGGTTTCGATTGATTACTGGATTTACTGAACAGTTACAACTCGTAACTAAAAATGATTATAATCATCTCGTTAATTTACGCACTCTACAAATAAACACGGCACGCACTAAATCTTCATACTATATTTTTCAGATTTTGAATAGGAACAGGCTGATTTCTTGAAATTTTCCAGAGAACACATAACAGTCATAAAATCGACACTAAGATATATAAATACGTCATTACAAGACGTATGTGACGAGAGGGTTGGAGTACATGGCCAGACATGTTATCGAACACAATGCTGATAAAAAGAAAATTGTTACTTCCTCCTCATGCTGCTTGTAAATGAGCTTTCGGCGCAACTGGATTGAGCTTTAGGTGCAAGAAGACATCCCGCTCTATATATGGAGGTACTGAGATCGCAACAAGAGGAACCAGGAACAAAAAGCGGGGTGCTCTCTTTTCTAGTAAAGGTTAAAAGGGGAGGGGCTGCTCAGGGTAGCTTCCCAGAGCGCAACTCAGTCACTTGCTAAAATTGGTTGCTCTGGTGAACCATGCCGACTTCCCACAAAATCATCAGTGGACCATGGGCTGTGGTAGGATAATTGCTGATCGCATGTTCACCTGCAAAGCAATGTCTACACTTTACGCCTTGTTCAGATGTGGTGGACAGAGCAACAAGAAAACGTATCGTCACCCTCTGTGGATCCCAGAACAATAAAGGAGAGGGAAACAGGCTCACGAATTGGCTCTCCAGAGAATTACTATGGCCTCTTGAAAATGCGACACACCTACTTTGCCGAATATACCCTCGAGAACAGCTACAAACAGACTCTGATATCTTCAGTGACATTTTCCATGATGGCAGTAACCTTCCTCGCACCCAACACAAGAACTGGTGCTCGATACAAGTCCCTAAACAGAAACAGCTGTCCCCTGCTTGCTGTTGTGATGCCTCCATGACCAAACTGATTAGTGCTGACATTCTAGAAATATTCTCCGAATTTAATCTACTCTTGAACTAAGATATTCGTCTGGTGTTGACTAGGTTTTTTCGCGAAAATGGCAGTTATCAAATTGAAATCCTATGTGCGGTACTCCGATAATCATAAATGGAGTCATTCGTGGCCATTTCTGCAACGGGCTCACTAGTGAGCTGAAAATGGAAAATAATATCTCACGAGTCCTCGTACTTACAGGCGAAATGACAGAAGAATCTCAATTTGTTGCGTGGTAATAAAGGATAAATAAAAATTTTCCATACATAGTAACCTAATGTCACGTGTTAGTGACTAGACACTGGGATTGGATTGATTACTGGATTTACTGAGAACTTATAACTCGTACATCCGAGATGCCCTATACAAATTTGCCTGGGCTATGCAGGTCAGCGTGGTTTCTTGACAGCTGAATTTCAAACTACAAAGCAATACTGCCTCTCGGTGCTGGGCCAAATTAAAGAAAAATTGTAATTGAGTTCCTGGCAAGGTCAAGGATTTTTCTATTATCCATACCGCAAAGTCTGGCCTTGACGACCACCCATCCTCCTGTCCGGTCCATAATAGTGGCTCCATAAAATGGAATTGTAATCTTATCTAATTGATGTATTGAAATGTGTTCTAAGAGAGAGAGAGAGATTCATTCAAATTTCCTGAACACGATTTAGAAAATAATAAATCGGCATATATTTGGAAAGTTTCAGAAACTCTGTAGGCGAGTTGTAATTGGGATTAAATCTGACATGAATCTTGTACTGATGTGTATTGCACCTGCGTCGTCAGTTTTACGTAATGATTGTGGTGAATTCGGTGACGTGGCACTTGTTTGGTCGTATGGTAAGTTTCTTGACAGCTTATCCTTATTTTTTCTATTATCCAAACTGTGAAGTCTGGCCTTGAGCACCACCCATCGTTCTGTTCATTCCGTATTAGTGGCTCCTTAACATAGAATTATAAATTTCTCTTTTTATTTATTGCTAGTGGGGTGGGACCAAGTCCCTTGTACTGCGGCCACTTCTGGCCAATTGTACTAGCCCTAGATGTTAGGTGAGGGTGATTGTGGAGCAATTGGTGGAATGAAGACTGGCAGGGAAAACTGAAGTACTCAGAGAAAACCTGCCCCAGCGCCACTCTGTCTACCACAAATCTCACTTGATCAGACCCGGGATCGAACCAGCTTGAGCTATGGCGTGTCCTATAAACTTCTCTTAATGATATATTAAAATGTTTTCTAAGATTCATTCAAATTTCCTGAAAAGGAATTGGAAATAATAAATCTGCTTATATTCGGAAAGTTTCAGAAACTCAGTCAGTAGGCGAGTTGCAATTGGGATTAAATGCAATTAAATGCAATTGTCTATAATTATAGACAATTGCATTGACACTGCAGGTCCGTAGGCCATGAATTAAGGTTCCAGTTGCAACACATATCAGTACAAGATTCATATCAGATTTAATCCCAATTGCAACTCGCCTACTGACTGAGTTTCTGAAACTTTCCGAATATAAGCAGATTTATTATTTCCAATTCCTTTTCAGGAAATTTGAATGAATCTTAGAAAACATTTTAATATATCATTAAGAGAAGTTTATAGGACACGCCATAGCTCAAGCTGGTTCGATCCCGGGTCTGATCAAGTGAGATTTGTGGTAGACAGAGTGGCGCTGGGGCAGGTTTTCTCTGAGTACTTCAGTTTTCCCTGCCAGTCTTCATTCCACCAATTGCTCCACAATCACCCTCACCTAACATCTAGGGCTAGTACAATTGGCCAGAAGTGGCCGCAGTACAAGGGACTTGGTCCCACCCCACTAGCAATAAATAAAAAGAGAAATTTATAATTCTATGTTAAGGAGCCACTAATACGGAATGAACAGAACGATGGGTGGTGCTCAAGGCCAGACTTCACAGTTTGGATAATAGAAAAAATAAGGATAAGCTGTCAAGAAACTTACCATACGACCAAACAAGTGCCACGTCACCGAATTCACCACAATCATTACGTAAAACTGACGACGCAGGTGCAATACACATCAGTACAAGATTCATGTCAGATTTAATCCCAATTACAACTCGCCTACAGAGTTTCTGAAACTTTCCAAATATATGCCGATTTATTATTTTCTAAATCGTGTTCAGGAAATTTGAATGAATCTCTCTCTCTCTCTTAGAACACATTTCAATACATCAATTAGATAA